CTTATCCAGTGAGTCTGTGCCTCAGGTCTGGTTCCAACGAGGCCCAAGAGTGTCTTAGGAAATTGGCCCTGAAGGGAAACACCCGAACCCTTCAGCTCCATCTCAGGCCCATCCTGTTGTTCTCTCTAGGGTCCTACTGTCTCCTGCCTGGGTTGGTTACCCCATCAGGGCTCTGTAGTGCTGGGTTCTACTGCAATCATGGAGCATCTGTCCCGAATCCCACTGATGGGATTACAGGAGACCTCTGTCCTGCAGGCCACTTCTGTCCCCAGGGAAGCCCCCATCCTGTTCCATGTGCCCCTGGTAGGTCTCTAATGCGTGAGGTCTGCTCTAGGCCTTTGAGACAAGAGGAGCTGGGGCCCAGCCTTGGGGGTCTCCTGGGGAAGGACACGGAAGACACTCATGAGGAATCAGGATGTAGACTACACAGGACTAGTGTGGAATACATGGTTTGTAAGGATGCCTCATGCGATCCAAGGCGTGGTCCAGCATCTGGATGAAGGTGGCAGAGAGGGGTGAGACAGAGACATGGCTGAGAAAGAGGGAGTGTTATCATCTGAGCCTGAGCGATGGCTCTCAAGTTCATGAGCACTCTCTGTGAGAGTGAGTGAAGGAAGCTGAAAAGCCATCACGAGATAGACCATCGTGGGTCTCTATCTGGGAAACCACCCATTCCAACTCCCAGTGTGCACCTGCAGGCTCCCTCCTGACCATGCCAGGTGCTACTTCTGTGAAGGACTGCCAACCATGCCCAGCTGGCTGGTTCTGCTCCCAGGCTGGCCTGAGCTCCCCAGAGGCCCTGTGTGAAGGGGGCTGGTACTGCCCTCAGGCCTCTGTCTCTGGACACAGTCCAGGTAAGGGCAGACCCTCCTTATTCTCAAAAGGAAGAATGCTATGGAGCTCTAGAGGGAGATGTGTTATGGGTACCCCTGAGCTCAGCTCCCCTGGCTCCTGGACGGTGAAAGACCATTTGTGAGCGAGGCTCCTAACCTCGGAGCCCAGTAGCCCCAGCCCCCTATGGAGGTGAGGATTCCTGGAATGAGGGAAGGAAATGGAGGAGCCTAGAAGTACTTGAAAGAAAATCAGTTAAAGATGGAGAATTCTGTGCTTCAGGGAAGGGGACAAAAGTGCCCCAGGATCACACAAAACAGCTCTAGTGAGACATGAGTGAGGCAGAGATGGTAAAAGATGTGATTCCAAGGTCTGCACAATTCTGTCTCCTAGGGACCGTTCAAAGGAAAGCCCAGACAAATTAAGTTTAATGAAGATTATTTGATGATATTTAATTCATAAATTGGGCAGTCAGCAGAATCAGATATTCTGAAGGATCATGGGCTAGTAGGCCTCCGTCTTCTATTCACTTGAATTGACTGTTATCAGTTACTAGGACTATAATTATGGCAGAATTATTTAGCGTTCCTTTTGTTTTTGTTTTTAATCAGAATGAGTTTTAAAGTTGGGCCTATCTATATTGTTCAGTCTCCCTCTGACCTGCTCTCCTGCTACAAAGAAGAAAGGAATGAGGTCACAGTGGTTCCTGAGACCTGTGTGGTGCAGCCTGAGAACTGTTAGGGTGTGTCCTCCAAATAAGGCCAACACAAAGTGGGAAGATAGGCTGAGAAGGCTAAGAAGCCAAGGCCATTTGCCAAGGCCATATGCCAAGGCCATATTCATCATTGGAAGACACCGGTTCTGCATTCCAAGGTGCAGTCATTAATTAAACAAATTTGAAGGACCATGAAGGAGCCTCCTCCAGGAAGAGGAATTCAGATGCCTACCCAGCCCACACAGCCACACTGATATGGAGGGAGCAAGAACAGCTGTGGCTAGAATGAGGTAGAAACCCGCAAGAGGAACAGCCCTCTCCCTTTGCTTTTCTAGATACCATTTGCCCTCTGGGGCACTCTTGCCCCCCTGGCAGTCTAGAGCCTCGAGCCTGCCCCCCTGGGCAGTATCAAGATGAACCTGGACAGAGCTTCTGCAAGATGTGCCCTGCTGGGAAGTAAGAGCTCCCCCCCAAAATTTTCTTTTCTGTCTGTTTACATCTGACTTACCACACACTCCGTGAGGATAGAGGGACTAATCTATATCATAGAGTGACCACTAACCACAAGACTGCAGCCCCACAACCAAACACCCCAAAGCCATGCATGGCCTTGGAAAGCTGCAGGTCCATGGACAAAGCTCAAGAAACAAGCCCGCCGTCCATCTGGTGTTTGTTACCTCTGTCTTCAGATGGGCTGATGGTGACTTTATGTCTTCCCACATCCTCTGTGTCCCAGCAGCTTCCTCCTGGGAGAACCCCAGTTCTGAGAAAGCCTGATGATGTAGATGACACCAACTCTTTAATGCCTGACACCAATTGTGTTCTACAGGTTCTGTCCCTCAGGGATTTTGGAGCCAGGAACTAGAACTGTGACGCCAGTGGACTGTCCTGCTGGCTACTACTGTCCTTTGGGTACCCAGCACCCCACCCAGCACCCGTGTCCCGGGGGAACCTTCCGAGAGAGGCCTGGAGCACAAAGCGCCAAGGACTGCAGACCCTGCCCTGCAGGCCAGTTCTGCGCTGACTCGGGTGATCCATCTCACTCTTGGAGCTAGCCATGTTATTAACCAATGCACTTGTTTCGGTTGCCCCAGGCCTGCCTACAGGGGGCGTCCCATGTTCTCTATTCCCTAGAGCAAGCACTTCTTGAGACCCAGATAAGCTAGCGGTAGGCAGGAAAGCAAGGAGATCTTAGACTGAGAAGGAACTGAAAGGAAAAAGAGGCCACATCATGACCAAAGTGAGGCCTGTACTGAACTCAGTCTAACACTTTCGGGAGGGGGGTGTGGACAGGGCAAGGCTACCCCAGTGTTCTGAGAAAGGTGACTTTGGCCTCACTCTATTGGGGAAGGCTTGGTGGAGGATTTGCTCTGGACTCAAAGGTGACCCAGGGAATTCACAAGTAGGACTGGGAAAGGCAAGGCACCAAAGTGCAGGGAGCAGAGGTGTGGCCTGTGTAGGAAGCACGGATTAGGACGAGCCTGAAGCCGAGAGGCCACAGTAGTGACCATGTGGAAGGGAAGGTGATGTCTGAGAGGGGCATTTGTCACTTAGATGCCTGTCTCATCTATATAACAAACTTCACGGCACAAGGTACTGTCAGAAGGTAAGTAGCAGGTGGATGCAGCCCCAAAAGAAGGGGACCCCAAAGAACACTGGTGAGTGATGCCAGAATCAGGCTGGGGACATGGAATGCCCATTTTCCCCTACATCTAGCCCCCCTGCCCCCCGCCCTGCTCACTGCAACCCCATTGCCTGGCCTGTACATCCAGGGTCCGATAGCGGTACTCACTCCCCATGCTGGGTACAGTCCCATGGAGGAGAGGAGGAGAGGGCGCACTGAGGGACTGAGCTACAGGGCTGGGAGAGAATGCAGAGCTAAGAGGGCCTGCAGAGCTGGGAGCTAGGAGCTAGGAGAGGTCTCAGAACTCCAAGGGGTTCCAGAGCCAGAAGGAGGTACAGTTCCAGAAAAGGTCCCACATCCAGAAGGGAATACAGAGCCAGGAAGAGAGACAGAGAAATGCCTGCCACGCCTCATGCCTTAGACTCCATGCCATGCATAGGACTCCTTCAAGCGTAGGCTGGGCCCAGGCACCTGTTGTTGTTTGAAACCAGCCATACTGTCTCCACCCCTTTCTATAGGGACTGGGAAACGCTTCCCTGATGGGCCATGCTTAGCAGGATATTACTGCCCCCCTGGCCAGACCTCAGCCACCCCGACGTCCTTCCGGTGCCCTCAAGGCTTCTACTGTCCTGAGGGGTCACTGCAGCCAAAGGCCTGTGGAAATGGAACCTTCCAGCCTCAGGAGGCTCAGGGCTCTTGTGAGGTCTGCCCCATGGGGTTCTACTGTGAGGCCTCCAGCACAGGTAGGTTCCAGGAGCTAGCAGGTGACCTCTGAGCATGCTGATCCCCGGAGACTTGGTGGATCTGTTTTTTACAGGTACAGACCACTTTGTGACTCACAGCCACTGTGAGCTGCTCTAACAACTGAAGTTGGTGTGGGAAGGGCTGTAACTGGCGAGGTTTCAACAGGAATGTATTAGGGACTTAAACTAGGGTAGAATCCCTGTCACTCATAGCTTTGCATCTCTGCAGTGCCCAGCCTAGGTCTAAGCACAGTGGAGACACAGGTAAAGGACAGGGAAGGACAGCCTGAGCCCCAGGACCTAGCTGGTCAAGTCTAACTCAGTTCCCCAAGTGGATGTGGCACACAGACTGAGTCTGTGCCAAGGGTGATAGCCTGGTGTGGAAAAAGGCAGTTAGGCTCAATGGCCAGGGCCTCTCAAGGAAGGCAGATTTCCTGGACCATGTTCTTCTACTCCAGATGATCAACCATGTGGGACCCTCCCTGTCAGCACCTGGATCAAGGGGCTAGGATCCTTGGTCTCTGACCTAGGCAGATCAGCATAGGAGTGTCACCTTGAGTCAAGCTGACTCTGCCATTGACTCCTAGATCTTGTAACCATGGCTCTAGCCTATGCATCCAAGACTATTTCTTTTCCCCAGGCTCTCACTCAGCCACTGCCCGCCCGTGCCCTCAGGGGACATTTGGGCCCAGGCCAGGAGCTACTACAGAGCTGGACTGTGAGCCATGTCCAGCAGGTTTGTGAACTCTCCATCAACTATGGACGGTCAGGTGGCCTGGGAGGAAGTGTGGAAAGAGAAGGGAAGAGGGAGCAGGAGAAGTGTAGCCTCTCATGCAGCTCCCACTCTGGGTACTTAGAGCCTCCTCAGCCCCTGTACCCTGCCTGCCCCCACGTTTACCTTTAGGACTTGGGATAAGAACAACCTTGAGTGCCCATCTGAGATCGGAACTCCTGGAGTGAGACTGGACAGTCTCAAGTCTCCAGCCCCTCCTGGACTTCACCCCCTTGTCTGCTTGCTATCTCATCTTGTGCTTGTCTGAGCCGGACCAGGAAGGATGGGGAAAGGGCTGAAGTGGGGGAGTGCAGATGGAGGGCAAGGTACAGACGGGCACAACCAGAAAGAGCAGGGGCTCTGCTGGAACATGAGGGCGGTGAAGATAAATCTCTCTGTCACATGCTTTTTCTGCACCTTCCAGGGATGTTCTGTGTGTCACAAGGGCTGACTCAGCCATCTGGACTCTGTCACTCTGGCCACTACTGCACAGGGGGTGCTGTGTCCCCAACTCCCATCCAACACAAAGTAGGTAAACACTGGACCTCAGAAGTCCAGGGTGTATGGGCTTGGGACCACCATACGTCTGGGAAGCCTTTTCTTCCCTACATGGCTGCAATTCCTTGAAAGACAGATCCCCCTGACCTTCTGGCTCTCAGGGTACAGAGCCCACAATTACTGACATGATTGTAAGATGTGCATTTCTTTCGTATTTAATCTCAATAAATCAGCAACATCATAGACGCTAAGGTGTCTGGCAGTCATGATGAGAGTGATCATAGCTTGTCTTCCACTAGATAGCATCTTAGATTGATAACATGTGACAATAGGAACAGACATATGCATACAGGAATCTTCACACCTAATGTAAGAAGAGTTGGATAGCGTGATGGGTACAGACTGAGGATGGCTGGGCAGACAGAGGTGGATAGTAATTACTGATTTATCACTGACCTGCCATGTAACTTGTGTGGTCCTGGCCTTCTCTTGGGCAGATCTTCCTTTTAGAATGGAGGTGCCCGCTCTTCTGGGAACTGTACATCAATGCACTGGAAAGGAAATAGATTCTGAGAGTTCAGAATCCTTACAGCAGTCCTGGTGACTCCTCTCCAGAGGCCTCATGGGCTCAATAAGACAGGAAACGGAAAGGAGAGAAAGATGCAGTGGAATGTGCAGCATCCTCATAGCCCTGGCTCTAGTCCTGACACTTAGTTCTAGCTGTGGTGTGGGTAGCAGATGCCCCAGCTCTAACTGGACATCTTCTCTTTCTTCTCTCCTCTACACAGGTGGAGGGCCCAGGGTTCTCTGGGAATGACATCTGCCCCCCTGGCTTCTTTTGCCCCATGGGAACAGGTTTTCCACTTCCATGCCCTCCTGGGTTCTATTCCTCTGCTCGTGGTCTGAACAGCAAGGACCAATGCCAGCCATGTCCTTTAGGACACTACTGTGGTCAGCCTGGACTATCTCAAGTCCTGGAGGCTAGTCTATGCCATGCAGGGTAAGGGAACCCTCCAGAAGAGGAGGAGTGAGTCTGAGCCCTAACCTGAGCCTGCAAAGAAGTCCAAACACAGACTAATCCTTAATCTTCATCCTCTCTCCTTGACTCTACTGAAAAGCACAGACCAAGGGCTGTTTCCCCAAGCATGTGGGCTGGGGATATCCTACCCTTTAGATACTGCTGTATATATACCCCCATGCCCTCCCAGGGATAACCTTGTGAGGTCCAAGGCACCTCCTAACACTTGCAGGCCTGAGTCTTTCCCGACTTGGCCAGCTGCCACTGGCAACATGCACTTGAGATGCCCACAGTGCATTTGCTATTCACTGTTCAACAGGCTAGAGACATCACGGCCCCCAGGAGTTTCATTCAGATGTTCAAGGATGAACGGCCCTATCTGCCTAGGGGCACTGAGGACTGGGAGGAGTATTTGCAGAGAGTGGAGTTTACCTGGAAGATGCTGACCCTTCGAAGAGCCATCTCCCTGAGCTCTTCTTCTGGTTTCCATCATAGGGCATGTTTTGAGTTGAGGAATTCCTATGTATGTGACCTGCTCTGGTCCCAGCAACCCAGCCAAGCCATCAGCCATGGCTGTCACATTGGTTTGACTCCAGAGCAAACCTGAGACTCAGGGCTCCCAAGGCTACCTGGGAATTCCTGTCTCAGCAGGATGGAGGAGATTCCGCCACGGCTTTCTGTGTCCTCAGATACATCTGCCTTGGAGGAAGCACTGTCCCCTCACCCACTGATGGGACCCATGGATACAGATGTCCTCCAGGATTCTACTGTCCTCCAGGGGCCCACCATGAACTACCCTGTAAGCCTGGTACCTTTAGCCCACTGTCTGGGGCTGACACCTGCCTATCCTGCCCACAAGGCACCTACTGTCCCAAGGCAGCTACTGTGGAACCTATCACTTGCCCAAAAGGTAACTCTGGGATTGACTTTGCCTTTCTTCTCCACAGTAGGGCAATTGGATGCCATCTTGGTTATGTCCAAGGCCTCCATACCCAGGGACCAATCAGACCTCAGCTTCCCTGACTAGACCTACCCATACAGTGGGGCTGGTTGTACTTCAGAGGGAGGGTGTGGGGTGAAGCTCATGAAGGGAGCCTAGACAGCCCTCCGCTGCTGGTCTGAGGCCTCAGAGGACACCTCTCACTAAACCAGGGCAGTCTGTACCCCTTCACGAACCTTCCCCACCTTTATAACCCTTGGGGATGTTACCCTCCTCCAATAGAAAGATGTTACAGTGGTTGGTGGTCTCCTGTACCACACTGCTCTGTTGATCCAGGCCCCTCCCCTGGGAACCAGGAATGAGTTGACAAAGAGCTCAAGCCTTTGTCATGGGACATGGGGCATTTGCTTTGTCTCAAGCTGTCTTGGGTACCCTTGAGAGACCCTTGAGCTCTGGGCTGACTCCTCTCAGAAAATGTCTCAGAGAAGGCACTGCTGTATACTTGGCTTAAGACTAGGTTTCCCCTACCCAGTCACCCAATCGCCTGGTTGCCTTGTGAACTCTAGGAAAATCCTAGGTTAATGACACCTGGACCACTGTCTTCAACATCAGCAATTCTTCCTTTTCATTCTGACAAGCCAGAGCTACCTACATCAGGTATTCCTGTCACTAGGATAACCCTAGCCTGAGGCTGATGGTCCTGTGTAGGCATGCACACTTTCAGCCTCCTTCATGCATGTGCATGCGCACATATACACACACACAAACACAACACACACACACACACACACAAAACAAAACCACACACATTCATGCATACACTGAGCCCCCTTCTCTGTTTCTCTCTCTCTGTGTGTCTCTGTCTCCCTCTTCCTCTCTCTCTCTTTCTCTCTCACACACACAAGTTTATACATATACTCAGAGTCATGCTTCTATTACACACTTATGTTCCCATACTCTCAAGCATATGCTCATATCTCCCTGCCATGACACACAGGTCTATGTCTAAAGTCTGGCTCTACAAGTCTCATTTCTTGCCTAGTATCCCCTCATGCCATCCCCTCTGGCTGACATCTGACCCTCAAGGCTGTTCTCACTTCTCTGTCACTGTAATGGGAAGCCACATGTTAGAGGATAGCCAGGTTCCTGGACAGCCCCTGATCACTTTGGCTTTGCCTGTAGGTCACTACTGCCCAGCAGGGACACCCTCAGCTCATCCCTGCCCAGAAGGAACCCTGAACCCACAGGAAAGTGCTGTGTCTCCCAGGGCCTGCCAGCTCTGCCCTGCAGGGAGCTATTGCCCTGGGGAAGGCAACACATGGCCAGAAGGTAGGTATGGACGTGCCAGCAGAGATAGGCAGCCTAAGGGTAGCCCTGCTACACAGGCTTCTCACAGTAGACAGACTGGGCACAGCTTCTGTGACTCCTTGTTTGCTTCATATATATCGATGGATAGATAGATAGATAGATAGATAGATAGATAGATAGATAGATAGATAGATAGATAGACAGACAGGTCTGTTGATCCATGGACAGGCTTCCCAAACCAAAACCAAAACCAAAACCAAAATCAAGGCTTGTGCCTGCCCCAAGCTCTCAGGCCCTAAGGTCCACTCCTCAGCAGGCATGAGTGTAGCCTGGATCATGCTTCCCACTTTCTTTTCCTTCCTCTCTCTCTGTGAGGTCTGTCTGCTGCCAAGAGCAGGCTTTGTAGCTACAGGCAGATATCAATGGGCTCTGTGCCTCATACAAGTGTGACACTGGGCAGATCGCTGATCGATCGGGCTGTCTTCTCCATGGGACAGAGGATGCCAAGAGGACCATCTCTGTGGCTGCTATGGAGAATGGGATTTTCCCCAGCCAGAGTTAGCCCAGTACTCCCCGACACTCACACACTTCTCCTTATGTGGCTGGGGTCCTTTCTTGCACCAATGAGAGAGCCCATTGGAAGGACATCACTGCTGCTCAGTGGTGTATAGTGTTTTTGATATTTTTCTTTTCACTTTGCTTTCCATGGTGCTCTAGGGTTAGAGACAGTAGCAGCTGGTGGTAGGACCAGGTAGAAACATGATAGGGACCTCTCTTAATACAGACAGCGTTCAAACAAGCTCTTAAGTTTCTGTAGCTCTGCTAAAATTCCACATATTTCTCTACCCAAGGACCGTGCTCAGCTGGTTACTACTGTAAGGGGGGTGCTGCCAGCCCTACCCCACAGGGAGACACCACCTCTCCTCTCAATGGACCCTGCCCCCGAGGCCACTACTGCCCACAGGGTTCTGTGTTCCCAGTGCCCTGTCCTTTGGGGACAACAAGGAACCTCATGGGTGAGCATCTTCCCTGTGTCCTCTCCTCTACTCCCAGGGGACCAAAAGGGACTCTCCCCTTTGGTGCTCAGAGCTGAGCATGGGTCTCCCTGTGAACAGCAATGCAGTGGCAAGGAAACTTACTGGCCGGGTGTCTGGGTGCCATGCAATGACCAGATGCAGCTAAGGCTCCCTAACTTTTCTACCCCTTGGGCTACATCCTGCCAATGCGGGCAGTGCCATTGGCTAGCCCAGAATAAGTTGCCCTGGGAAACCCAACCAGTGGCAGTTCCATTCAAGAGTTTGGACCAGGCTCCACTGTGGCTCTATGGCATGGCTGAGCCCACAGAATAACAAAGCCCTGTACCAGGACCTCCTCTCTGCAGGTGGCACCTCTAAAGGGAGCTGCAGGCCCTGCCCAGATGGATACTTCTGTCCTAGCCTAGACCTCGGCTCAGCCAATGGATCCTGCACAGTTGACTCTGACTGCTCCTTAGATACCAGCGCCTCTACCTCTACACCTGTCCCCTGCCCTCAGGTACCTCCCAAGCTCCTATGGGAAGGAGTTCAGTCTCCTGATCCAGGAGGCAGAAGGTATGGCCTTGGTTTGTGGTGAAGCTTAGCCCTCAGACTGTGGGCATCAAGATAGCGCAGTGGGTCACAAGGGATGAACTCCGATACCTTCATCTCTCAAGCTTTAGTTTTTCCCAACTTCTCCTGGCCTCTTCTCCCCTGTGGTCGAAACCCAAGGAAAGGAAGACACCATGCCAACCCATGGAGACGCCTCTACCACTCCTGTCCTAGACTTAGAGATGTCTATTTGTAATCTACCTTCCAGGGTCACTTCTGCCAGCCAGGAGCTGCATGGCCTGTCCTGTGCCACCGTGGACACTACCAGTCCTCCCTGGGCTCAGACACCTGCCTTTCATGTCCACCAGGCTCCTACTGCCCATATCCTGGCACTCAGACACCCAGGCCCTGCCCAGCCCATGCTTACTGCCAAGCTGGTATGTGTAGGGGCCTCATCTTCACACCCTTACAGGTCCTATTCTCCCACAACCTGCCTGCCTTCCTTCCCCCATTCATTCCAGCCCCCAAGCATGCCGACCTGTACCAGGATCTGATGTGAGCGTATCCAGCCTCCTGCTTTCTTGCCCTGGCCAGATTCCTGTTTGTTTTCCCACTCTACTGCTGGCCTTCTCTTCCTCCGATCCCATGCCGTACCTACACCTCTTCCCGAAGGGTCCTGGTGATCACCTGGCACACAATACAAAGGCATCAGAGGCATTCAGAGGAGGCTGACTCTGACACTGTTCAAACACAGTGCCTGTATACCAAGACAACCCAGCCAGAGTCAGCACTCTGTCGGCCAGGGCCATGGCTGTGATCAGAAAGCCATGTGCTTGGGACCTAGCAACTCACCAAAGCACTTGCTGTCCAGTTACCTCCTGCTCCCCACTGAGGAGGAGAAAGGGCAAGAGGATGTTCTCCTCACCTTCACACAGATGTGGAAAAGGTTCAGACTTACCCCCAGCTGTTGCGTTTTAAGCGGGGAAAATGGATTTCTAACATTTGCTAGAGGCATGGCCTTGTACCCCAACTTTTCACTACTGTTTAAAGACCCTGTAACAGTATTGTTCCATTTTTCATTTTTATTTTTATTGCGTGTGTGTGTGTGTGTGTGTGTGTGTGTGTGTGTGTGTGTGTGTGTGAACATGTGTGCTAGAACAGAGGACAAGTTGGGAGGAATCCATTTTCTCCTTCCACTGCATGGGTCCTAGGGGTAGAAATCAAGGTGTCAGGCTTGGCAGCAAGCTTCTTAGCCATGGAGCCATCTTGCAGCCTCCAGGGTTATTCCACTGTGGCGGTCATTTGGCTTGTCCTCTTCCTAGAGGGAAAACCGAAGAACAGATATACTCACGTCATGAATTAGTTCAGGGGAGGAGGCTATGGGCCCCATTCACTGATGTGGCCCTGGCCCCTATGGGGCGCCTCCTCTCCTACTTCTCTCTCTTTTTTTCCAGGAACTTGGTCCCCAAGCCTGTGTCCCCCAGGGACCTTCACTCCTCAGGATGTGTCAGGTCTCCAGGAAGACAACGACTGCTCCATCTGTCCCCCTGGCCACTACTGCAGGTCAGTCAAACTACGGTGATCCGCAGCTCTTTGCCTGCTCTGTCCAGTCTTCATGGGTGGAGAGCCCTGCTGCCCAGGCTCAAGTGTCTCTCTAGGTGGCCCTGGGCCTGGTATCCCCACTGACACAGATAAAACACAGAAAGCACTCAGGCTCTCTGCAGACGTGACGCTGCGTCTAAGAAACTCCTTCCCCACTTCAAACCCAACAGCTGAGATTCCTCAGGCTCTATGGGGAGGACTGTCCCCCTTCCACTGTTTGAGAAGGCTTTCCTTTGGTTGAGCCTGCCTTCCCCTGTGGCAGAACTAGAGATCGGATGGATATCTCAGAGTCCAGGTCCAAGCCCTCAGGGACTCCGGAGGAACCCCAGTCAGTACAGGAAGCAGATAGAATACTTGCTTGCTCCATCTGTCCCCATTTCCAGGGGCGACTGTTTCAGGGAGACTGAGCTGTCTGGAGGACACGGGCTGATGGCAGCCTGAGTTCTGCTCCTGAGCCACTGTGCCCCACAGTTTAGTGGGATAACATCATGCAGCAGGTCTTTCACTTGCTGGTCATGCAGGAGAAGCTGCCTACCCTGCGCTGGATGTGAGCCCCACCCTCCTCTTCTCTTCTTTCTTTCTTTCTTTCTTTCTTTCTTTCTTTCTTTCTTTCTTTCTTTCTTTCTTTCTTTCTTTCTTTCTTTCTTTCTTTCTTTCTTTTTTTTTTTTGGTTTTTTCGAAACAGGGTGTCTCTGTGTAGCTTTGCACCTTTCCTGGAACTCGCTTTGTAGACCAGGCTGGCCTCGAACTCACAGAGATCCGCCTGCCTCTGCCTCCCGAGTGCTGGGATTAAAGGCGTGCAACACCACCGCCCGATATCCACCCTCCTTTTCTTAATGATGCTGCGCTGTGTTAGCATTGCCTGCAGTACACTGATCCAATCCGCTGGGGCTCCAAAGCAGGACCACCTCACCGCGATTCCCAGAGAAAGCTTCTAGCTAGGGCGCTCTCCCTCCTGCCTCAGAGCAGACCCTCCATCACTTGCTTCTTACTGTTGTACCCGCCTCTTTGACCACTAGACGTGGACAGGTGTGGGGAAGATGTCCTGCTGGTTACTTCTGTTCAGCTGGAACCTCTGAAATAACGTTAGACCCCAGCAAACCTCAGGCCTCGTGTACCCAGAAACAGCTATGTGCACAGCAGTGTCCACCAGGTAACAGACCCTGCCTCTGGCCTGCAGGTATGAGATGTTCAGGACCCACCGAGTTGTCTATATAACATGCACGTGCATAGAATATGAAAATGTGTCCCGGGCAGTGCACATGGCACCTGGTATGACTACCACACTGGTGGAGGTAACAGGATGTATTTCCATACCTTCCATATTGACCAGCATGACCACTCGGGCCCTCTGGACTCATTCTATCTTGGCTCCCACTGTCTATCAGACACAGTGAAAACTCTGTACTTTAGGATTTTACTGCCCTGAGGGCAGTGGAGAACCCATCCCATGTCCCCCTCACACCCTGGCGGCTACCGCTGGAGCCCAGAAAAAAGAAGACTGTGGGCCCTGCCCCCCAGGACAGTGGTGCAAAGCAGGTGAGGTCTTAGGGCAAGGTGACACGGGTCACAGTCTAGAAGATGTTTGTACCTGGAGAGGGCCTGGGAGGCTACACTTGGGCAGGAAGGTGAGTGTAGACCTCATCCTGCAGAAACCCAAGCCAGGAAACCCTGCCCTGCTGGTCACTACTGCCCGGGAATGAGTGAATCCCACCCAGGAGCCCCTCAGGCATGCCCTGAACATACCTATCTGGCCACAGAAGGAGGCCAGAGCCCAGCTGAGTGCCTCCCCTGCCCCACTGGGTACCACTGCCCATGGCCAGGTAAGAGCCCCTTTTCAGGCTCACACGGACATCTGGAGGATGAGTGGGAACAGGCCACAGGAAGGCCTCAGGGAGACCCTACTTTTCATGGTGTTTTCCCTCCAGGCCTCTCTTCTTTTGAAGACCACCCATGCCCCCCTGGCCACTGGTGTCCAGGTGCACAGGGTGCTTTTCTCTGCCCACCTGGTACCTTCCGTTCAGAGCCAGGGGCGTCATCACCACAAGACTGTGAGCTCTGTCCCTCTGGCTACTACTGCCCTGACACACAGGTGACCGGTCGAGCCAATGTGTTTGCCATCCCCTGCCAGCCAGGGTCAGAGTGCCCAGCAGGTGAGCCCTTAGGACCTTCTAGCCTGGCCCGGCTCTTTTCTTTAGAGTCACCAGCCCTTCATGCTCTTACCTTTGGGGCTCAGGTTGGAGACTGAAAGAGCCCTTTACTGAGCTTAAGCTGCGGTACCCACTCACTCCAGGACCTCCCCCTGACTCCCCATACCCACCCAAACTCCACCAGTATCTCCCCAAGACCAAGATGCTGCAGAGTCCCTGATTTAACTAGGTCGGGGAGGGTCTGACTAGCAGTTTCCTAGACTGGGCAAGTCTAACGCAGGGTGTTTTGTGTCCCATATTCAAGATCCTATGACATCTCTGCTACTTGGGTAGACAGGAAGGAGTCAACATGGTGTGGGTCTGGGGCACAAGGAAGATGTCCTTCAGTGGTTCCTCTGTTGACACTCCATCATCCTCCACACAGGGCACATAGCCCAACCAGCTCCAAAAGCATGGTGGGACCCACTTCTGCTTTGATTTTCTCTGTTCCTGGGCTCCAACCCCATGAGTCTCCCTCTCTGACTACACAGTGATGATTGCCAGAGCCCTCTCCTCTCTCCCCAGTCATCACAAGCCTCAATGTCCTACCCTACAGCTGTCTTTCCACTCAGACCTCTACCAGGGATCCTGGGGACTTCCTGGCTCTCCTCCCAGCCTAGGACCTTCCCAGAATCCCATGAGCTGCCAATAGAAACTCAGTATGTCTCTAAACCTGGCCCATCCAGGGCTCCCCTTGCCTTCATTCCATCCTTGTCTCCTTCAGGTGCTGTAGACATGGTCCCCTGCAGGGCCGGTTCTTACTGTGGGCCCCGGACTGGAGTACCCCCACTTTGCCCCGGGGGCTTTGCCTGCCCTGAGGGTTCTTCTACCTACACTGGTCCTGGGCAGCGGTAAGTCTCTCCTCATCCTTATCAGCCTGGGCCCCCCTCAGGGAGGCCCTCTCTCCTGTGAAGCTGAACCCCCAGGGATCGCCTCCTCCATCCTATAAGTCCGAGCCACTCTTCGGTGACCAGATTGTACAAATCAGTCCCCAGTGTCTCAGTGATTGCAACCAAGTGACAGGGTCCCTGGGCATGTATTTTGTGACCCTTGGAGTTGGGTTCCCAGATAGGGCCCAGCCCTTCTGGGAAGGTATCAGTGAACAAGAGATGCCATCAGGGCACTCTTCTCAGCCTCCAGCAACATCCTATGTGGGGCAGCCACATTTAGTAAATAGAATTATGAGACACTTGGTTACATTTCAATTTTAGATGAAAAACATTTTTTTTTCTTATAAACGCGGCCTGGGAGATAATCTAGGATACATCCACAACAAAAAATATTCTTAGTGTTCATCACCAATCCTGAGAACTTAGCATTGAAAAGCACAGCTCTCCTCACGAGAAGAATAAGAAGGGTGGGTTATTGGGGTGGGGGGCCTGGAAACATGGATTCAGCTTACCCCAGATGCTACGTCTCAAGTAAAATGGTTTTGTAGAGTTTTCAGTCCCAGCAAGAAGGAAGTCATAACTCAAGGCGCTTTGTCAGTCTATCGGTGCAAACCTGAGGCAGGCAGGTGACGTCAAGGCAGGATCCACTGCAGTCTGCGGACGCTGTCTAACGACAGTCTCAGCTTCCGTGTTAATGCAAGTCAAGTTAAGATGGACACACAGTTTCATGTAACAGTCACAAGTATATCAGGTGAGACACAGAAGTGGCCAGTGAATGACAAGAGAGCAAAAGATAGCCGCAAATAATTTGCTTCTGGCTCTGCAACATTCCAACTCTCCTTAATCACAGAGTTTTAATCAGTCCGTCTTTAACATCGATGTGACTTTTTTTTTTTTTTTCTGGGAACTTCAGTTAACACATATCAGATCATCCCAACTTCCTGTCCAGGAGTGCTAGCCCAGCTGTGTTACATGTCCCTCCACCTAGGTGTAGAGAAATTAGCTCCGGGCCTGCCTGCCTGCCTAGGCTCAGCCTTCTCCACAAATGTAATTCAGCCTGCAGAGGCCCAGCAGACACAGACCACTCCATGTCCTGGGGGTGGGGGTGGTGCTGGAGCTGGGCTGGAGGCTTTGCTGGCAAGGTGGCCTGAGTCTGGGGCCTTTCCTTTGGGCAGGTGCATGTTCCCCCATTACTGCCCTCAAGGCAGCACTCATCCCCTTGGGTGCCCTGGGGGCTCCGAGGCCCAGAACAAGAGTGGCCTTAGGGTCTCTGCAGAGACTTCCTGCCGTCTGTGTACGGCAGGTACCTACCGCAGCCCTGCTCTGGATACCCTGACTTGCCAGCCCTGCCCCCCTGGGTTCATCTGCCCCCAAGGTGAGTGTCACTTGGGTAAAGACAGGTGAGGGCCTGGACCCTTAGGTGAGACAAGAGACAGGCCTGGGACTCACCAACCCACACTATTAGGGTGACAAAATTGTAAAGCGCCGTGCGTGAAGTTCCAGGTGGGTGAGTGGGGGCACCACTGGAGACCTGAATTCTCTGAGGGTGCTAACTACATCCCATCCCCAGTGAGTCAGTATCACAGACACCCTAAGCCGTGTCTAGCTGAGAGGAAGATGTGTGCTGTGTACCCAGAAGACCCCTGGGTAGGAGAATAGGGATGGCAGGGTTCAGAGCCCACAGTGTACCGTACCATCACACACTCCCCATGTCTGTCCCCATCATTCCCAGGATTCTCCCTGCTTTGCTCAGCCCTGCTCACACAGCTGGAGTCAGGGGCTCAGAACAGCCCTCTTTCCCCTGCAGGCTCAGAGAGCTATGACAACCAGCCCTGCCCGGTGGGCCACTACTGCCCTGAGGGGACATCCAAGCCCAGGCCCTGTCCAGCAGGAACCTTTGGAGGGAGCAGCCAAGCAGCAGGAGCAGAAGACTGTCAGCCATGCCCGCCAGGCACCTTCAGCGCCCGGCCAGGACAGGCAGCTTGCCTTCCCTGTGGGAGTGTTGCCTTCTCTCCCCAGGGTGAGCCCCAGGCGCATGCTTCCCTGCAGTGGCTGTGCCATCCTCATCTGCCTGGGCAGCCTGAGGATCTACAGAGTGACATCTCGGGAAGCAATCTTCATGGATAAGTGGTGGTGGGTCAGGAAATCGGCGCTGTCGGGGGAGATACATGTGTGCAGCTGAGTGTGCGTGGCCAGGCCTCCAGCAAGCACTTGGACCAGCAGAAGCTGCCTCAGCTCACAGAACTTGGCCACAGGGCCCTGCTGCTGTGTCCACTGTCTGGGCTGCTGCTCTCTCTCTCTCCCAGCATGCCCTGGATGCAGCCAGCTGGGCCTGTGTTCTAGGACCAGGATCGCACTATGTGCATGGTAAAGAACCCTTAGCCAGGTGTCCAGTACGCAGCAGGTCTCAGCCCAGGCTACACAGGAAAATCATAGGGAACTATAAAAGGTATATACCCTGGCCTGCCCTCAGAGAGAGCCATTTAAGAGAGTGGTTCTCAACCTGTGGGGTGTGACCCCTTTAACAGGGGTCGCCCAAGACCATCTGAAAACACAGACATTTACATTGCGATTCATAACAGTAGCAAAATTTGCGTTATGAAGTAGCAACCAAATAATTTCATAGCTGGGATGCTTACATCATGAGGAGTTGTATTAAAGGGTTGTAGCATTAGGAAGGTTGAGACCCACTGATTTAAGTGGTCCACAGGACACCTGGACACCAATGTTGTTTGACATGTCCTCAGATGTGTCAATGCAAAGTCAGGGTTGAAGTTGATTAACTGAGACCTCACGTGTCTTCTGACAGTCAGTCCCCTGAGGTCAGGGCTGTGGTGAAGTTGGTGTATGAGTTCTATAGCCGGACCCTAAACTCCCAGAGGACAGGAGGGGGCAGTCCCCAGCCGAGTGTCCGTGAGGTAAGCAGACTTCTCTGTCCCTAGGTGCTTCTACCTGTACCTGCCGAGGTCTAAACAGGATCTTCCAAAAGTCGGATGGTTCCTGCCTCTGCCAGGCTGGGCATGTCTCCTATGACCACAGGGGTCTGGAAACTGACCAGGAGAGCAACAGCCACAGCGATGAGGATTGCCAACCCCAGGTAGGCCTGGCAGACCTAGGACAGACAGGGGAGGGAGGATGGGCACTCCCGAGGCCACTCCACAGGGTCCCGGACACAGGTGTTGGGGTGTGTCAGATCCTTTGCAGAGGGGGTCCTCTTCAATGAGACCTTCCTCAGCATGGAGGACTTTAGAGAAGCCAGGCCACTGTGCCACCCTCATCTGCAAAGAGCAGGGGTCTCCCTGGGTGGATCCGAGGACTGTTGATGATCTGGCTTCTTGGAAATGGCAAGCAGCAGTGGCCACGAAGGCTGGACTTGCCCTGTGCACATCACATCAGTGGGGCATTGTAAACAGAGAGCTGTGGCCAGCAGGAGGGGCAGGACTGCCTGGGCTGACTGACTGGCCGGCCATCAGTATCCATCCACTCTGAAGCTGATTCCTTGGAAAACACAGCTGTGTCTTTAGAGAGGCTCCCTCATCCCACTGGCTATTTGTTTGTCTGTCTGTCTGTTTTAGGGATTGCTTGGGGTTTGGTTTTGGAACGTTTGATCTTCCCACCTCACCCTTATGTACTGGGATTGTGTGCAGGCCACCTCCCCTCATCCCCAGACATTCATGCAAAGCTCTCTGTGCTGTTCCGGGGTTACTGGTCTCTCCCTATAGGGCACATTCACCCACCTGCAGCAGATTGCCCTCCAGATAGGCCCTACCTGTGTATACATTTCAGCTTGGAGCCCTAGTCTACATGTGACAGACAGCTCCAAGCCTATAACTAGAACCAAAGAGAAGAAGCTTTTTGAGTCAGGATCCTATAGCCTCCCACCCCTATGTCAGATGGAAGCCCTGTCCTCTAGCTAAGGACTATCCAGATTCTCCCTGCCTCACTTCTCAGCCCTACTGCCTTGAGAAAAGCCAGTAAGGTGAGTCATGCCATCTTATTTCCACTAGAGGGCAGACTCACCAACCTGCTTGTGGCCCTGGACTTCAGGCAGCCCTGGCTAGAGGCCAGCACCCTCAGGACCCTGTCCCATCTGTCCCCTAGGGCCATCAGTCGCTTCCTGTCTGGGGTCTGCCTATGAGCACAGGTGACCCTGTTCCCCTCTTAGTGTAGCCTTTGAAACAACAGTGACCGCACCAGTATGGGGACACTGGTTGTGAATGAACTCTGCGTCTGACTCAGGCCACTGAGTCAGGGACTGCAAGGCTGGGACTCGCACACATACACTTTCACCAGCCCTCCAAGAATGTGTAAAAACCATGCGACAACCTGAGCCTCTATCCTACATGTTAATAACCAGCCCTGTCTCCCTGTGTCCTTCCTCAGGTCAAGGCCAGGCCACCCTCCATCTCTCCTGCCATCTCTACTGCAGCCAAGAACACCCAAACCCTGGTGTCTCCTCATTCTCTGCCATCCCACCTACTCTCAGAGCTGAGTGGCCTCCTTACTGGCTCCACCTACTGCAGAAGCCCTAAGAGAGAGCCCCTAGCTAGGACAACATCCCCAAACCAGAGTTTCTGTCCCTCCATACCCCGTCCGTCCCTCTGGAGCCTAACCTGGACTACAGAGTTCTCCCGCCCCTCACAGCTGTTCATCTGTGGAAGTCTGGCTTCCTAAGCATGCCTGCCGTCCCTGGTCAGAGATCTGGTGAGGCTAGAGGACTCCTCACCGTGTCTCAGGACCGGCTACAAATATGACAACTGTCCAAATGTGCTTCTTTCCTCACTAGCTTTTCGTTTCTATACCATACATATTTTATATATAGTATGCATTATAATAGCATTTTTACATTTTTAATAATTATGTTTTTGTTCGGGAAGAGGCGTGGTCATGTCTGGCTAGTACAGGGGTTGATGGCATGTGTCTTCCAAGGAAAGGACCACAGCTCCCTAGCTTCCTCCTCCTCCCCCAGATTCATGAGGCCCCACAGGACTCACAAGGATGTCCTCATGGAATGTCACTTCCTCCTGCAAACGACCTTCTGTGTCAGTTCAGCCTGTGGGACTGCTGTGGGACTGTTGTATTACACCCCAATCTAACTCTCTCCTTTGTGCTCCCCTTAATATCTGGTGGCATGGCCGGTCTCATCTTTACCACATCTGGGAAGCATCCCATCCCACCGCTCGCTCCAGTCACCTCCCAGTCAGCCACCTTGCCCACGTCTCTGGAATGTTCTTCCAAGCTGAGAATACTCCCACCAGACCTATAGGGGGACCAAGGCCGAGACTTTTTTTTTTTTTTTTTTTTTGGCCAACTCCTGCAGGTTGCCCAGCACTGTCCACCTGGCGATGTCCGCCTGGCTGCCACCCGTGAGTGTGTGTCTCCACAACAGTATGACTGCAGTTCCTTCTGTGGCCCAGGAGGTGGAAAACTCAGCACCGCGCTGGGAATGTGAGTGAGCACAGCTTCCAAGAGCCTCTCCACACTTGTCCTGGCAAACCAGAGGGCCCAGCCCCATGGGACACCAAGCCCAGTGAAAGCTCCTTTCAGAAGCTTCCCTGAGTCCACATTTCCCAAGGCGACCCTGGCCAATGCTAGCCTGGGTCTGTAGCACAGGGCTAGAGAAAACGTGACCCCATGGGGTCATCCCCCAGGCCCTGGTCCAAATACAGATGCTTGCTCTGGCCACATTTCTGAAATCTATACTTCTGTCCTGAGCCCTGATCCTCCTGCTGACCTGTGAGCTTGGTGGGGAGGGGGTTATTCTCTGATCTAGCAGAAGTGTTCCAGGATGCATGGGTCTGTTCCCATGCTTGCCTCAGTAATATGCCTGAAGCAATGATTCTGGTACATCGGCCTGTTCCTTACCTTCTACATTGCCCCCATTGTGGGAGAAGTCCTGCTTGCTATATGTGGTTTAACAGGACAAAGCAGGGGCCTACACCATAGATATTATTGTCTTCGACCTCCATTCCCAGTGCAGTGGCCTCTGAGGAAGCAGACAGCTCACTTTCCTTGGGGAGGGGCTGAGAATCCATCTCTCATTCTCAGAGGACCCGTGCCTCTCCTACAGCTGTCAGTGCTTGGGATACGTCTCTGCAGAAGAACTCTGTGACATTAGGTGTCTGGCCAATGCTCCCCGGCTCTCCTTGTCCTGGGACCCTGGCAAGGAGCTGATCCTCAGTGTGAAGAGTAGGACTGGCGACAGCATCCAGAAGGTGAGCCTAGACTGACTTGGGACAGCAGGCATCTGACCACTGGGGGCAGAGAGATGAGGCCACACAGCACCCATGGCTCCAGAGAAGCCAAGCACCAGTTGGAAAGAAACTACGGTGGAGGGAAAAGCCCAGGTTTTCCCTGCCAAGGTTTGCTGTCTGTGGGTCTTTCCATTCTGTAGGCTGAGGGAAGGCAGGAATTATATTCCTATGTCAATGCCCACCATGCAGTCTAAATGTCTGCAGGGACACTGGAAAGAATCAACATCATATGAAGATATTAGAGCTTGTGAGGTGTAGTCTAGGACCGGAGCCCACTCATTATTGTCACACAAATGGTGTCAGGCCTTCCAGGACCAAATATCTGAGCTCAGGGCAAGGGTAGGCCATAGCCACTGTGCTGTTGCCATGGCTGTCTTCAAGCCTCGATGTCTTCTCATGATGGGAGGTAGAAAGAGAGGGAGCCAAGGCCTCGGCCTGTCAGGGTTGACCTAAGATTGTCTGCTAGACAGCTCTTGTCTTCTCTTTGATGGGCCACAGTGGTCCCCTGGTTTGGGGCTAGCCAGATCTACGGTGAGAAGTTTCCCACTGACTTCCAAGTAGGGTGCTTACAGAGAGGAGGTGAAGAAGGGCAAGGTGGAATCCTGGGTGACTCAAGCAGAGGGCCCAGCTGGAATCCGGGTGCTCTCTAAAGAGAATGAGGGACCAGGACTTAGGAAGCGACCTGGGCAGCTGTTGGTGAGGAAGGAGATGACTGGAGAGAAGTGAGGCCGGATCACCAAGCCCTGAGGATCCCCAGAACTCAATGTGAACTCTTCTTGTCCTTCTCTGCCACCCTGCCCTGCTCCAGCATCTGGTATTGCATGTTTTCAGGAGCTCTTGGAAACTCTAGGTCCTGATCTGCAGTTCCCAGGGAGTGCCAGGGTCCACCTGGTCCAGTTTGGGCCCCATGGTACCCTTGGTTTCATCATCTCCAGAGTGGACATGCTTATTTCCCTGCTTCAAGGTAAGTTGAGGAAGGGGTGCGGGTTTGCTCCTGCAAGAAAGATAAGGTAGGGTGCTTGCATGGCTCATCTGTAGCCCCTCATAAACTCCTCACTGTGTCTAGAATTTGGGGGATGAGAGTGTGAGAGAGGCCCCCTTAAGGCCCCGAGGAGAGACATTCATAAAAAGAGGCTGGGCTTGCTCCTCCAAGATGGGACCGATGGGCCAGCATGTGCCTCCCAGTGAGGCTCAGCTCTCTGCTGTGCCTACCCCAATTATTCCAGGAACAGCTACATCCGGTCCCTGGCTGCAGAGGCATCACAGGACAACAGGCCGGAAGCACCCCAATACTAACCTTCAGATTCCGAACCCAGTGATCTGCCTAGCAGCTGGAGATGTGATTCTCTTCCAGCTCCATCTTCTTGCCCATAGTAAGTGCCACCTGGAGAGCTGGGACCCGCTCTCCCTTCAAGTCCTGGCTCTCCACCCCACCGTGCCCACACGGGTGATCTCACAGAGAGCCTACATCTCTGCAGGGAGAAAGTCACAGCCGTCTGCTGGACACAGCTCACAACCCACTTGCTCACTGCATTTCCTCACTTTTAAGGCCTAAATGGAGCCTGGATCCCAGTTTCAACATTCCTTGACTCCCTGAAACCCATGGGCCTACAAGATTTTTATGCCTTGTGGGATAGGGGGAAGTCACCGAGGGAGGCTGTACCGCACCCTACCTTGGAGTCCCAGTTCACCCATCATTTCCAAAGCTGTGACATAATCATCTTGCCAGGCCTGGCGTTTTGCAGCGCTGCTCCCAAGAGCCATGCAGCCCCTCCTACTGGCTTATTAGTCAATGATGGAAAGCTTACATTCTCCCCAGAAACCCCCACCGCTGGGTGCCTGACAGAGTAGGCCTGACCCCTGGTGAAAAAGCAGCCTTCTCCTGATGGAGGAGAACGTTTGGGTCTCTCCCAGTTCCGATCTCAACCACTTCACCCATCTGCATTCTGTTCACCGAACATTAGTCCAGATCCCACAGCATATCTCAGCAAAGGGGGTCCTTCCCTGGGGCTCTGTTGTGGAGTGGGCTGATGTACCTTACTCCACATACCTCTATTCCCACACGGTGATGTAGCTTATTGTCCCAGCTGTGGCCTCAGGGCTGTTTGAAGCAAGGACAGGCTCATGGGGACTATAATACTTACAGCAGAGAGAAGCAGGGCAAGAAGCAGAAGCTTCAGAAATGCAAGGTGATATGGATCAGAGAAGAACATGAGCCTGGAAAAATAAGCTCCATGTTTGATCGGGTACATTGGTTTCCCAGAATCCAATGGGACCTGGGGAACCCCACCCTTTGTATATCTCGTTGTTGATATCTGAATGGAAAATCTTGTCACGTGCCCTCTCCATCACACTGGAAAGACCCATATCAAGTAGAGCAACCTGTGCCAGGGGCCTGGTTTATCCCTTAGTTGCCTTGTTAGGCAGCTATTCTACAACACCTAGTGAGGACCCACTGTATGCCATGATGGGCATCCTACATCTCCTGGGCCAGAGAATCAGCTGGGCTCATTACAAATACGACAAAAGCCTTGTTGCCATGTCCAGACCATTTGACTCCCTAGGACTCTCTGTAGGCAGAGGATTAGAAGGGCTCACTTGACCCCAAGACTAATAAGTGAATCATGCCAAGAGGGCTATGATAAAATGTGGCATTTCATTCAACACACATCTCAGTTCTACCCTCTTACCTAAGACATGGGTGATGAGCTCTGGGCTGCCCAGGGCTGGGCTTAGGATAGTATCTGGACCTCAGCCCAGACTCACTTAACATTCCTCAGACAGGTCGGCCAGTCACTACCCCATGTACCAGAGGCAGCACCTACTCAACAGCAACTCCCACTGGGACTCTGGAGCCTTCAGGAGACTAGGCCATCTAGTACGCGAGACAAACCTCAGCCTCTCAGGGTAACACAGTGGGGCTGTCTGGGAAGTGGGCATGAGGGGTTGTTGCTGACCTTCCTGATGTGAAGTTAGGACAGAGAGAGCCTGGACTGGAGGTGGAGGGGTCCATCTGGAGACAGGCAGGATTCAGTGGTACTCAGATAGGAAGAGCCTTTTTACAGGGTGAAGCATTGTGGGTAGTTTAGCTGGACCAGACTGTTTTAACGTACCAAGACTCCCTGCCGTAATCTAAAGATACCACCCTGGCTTGAGTGGTCTATCAAGATGAGCTCCCACATGCTGTCTCTCTGCTCCCCAGGTTTGCCCATCAGTTCCTAGATCCAGGCACATATGTGTTTCAAGACAACGGAAAGCCCGAGAATATCGCAGTGGTGCTGGTGAAGGAGGAGGGGGCAGCATGTGGTGCTGGCCTGTCCCCTGTGCAGCCATCTTCTCCGTATCAGCTTGGCAGGCTTGGGGTCCTCAGGCACAGCATGCTGACCCTAGGCCCAGACTGGGCAGTGATCACAGGTACCGATTCAGACATGATGGCCAGGACGGAAGGTCCGGAACGGGGCCTGACGGCAGGGCCGTGGTGTGAGCCAGCTCTTCTGTGATTCTGGATACAGCCCCACGGATGACTCTTGGCCCTGAGTGAGGGTGTCAGTTGTCCACAATGGCATCCCAATTTCCCCCGTTTAGAGTGGACTTTCTGCTCCCTTCCTGCACCCCTGAGTCCGTTGGTCTCAGCAGGACCATGATTGGAGTCAGGATAGAAGAGGTCCCACAGAGTTTTGATTGTGGCCTTCTCGCCCCCATTCCTGCTTGTCCCCATCAGTCACAATCTGAGCTCTCTGGGTTGGGTCTTGAGACCAGGAGGAACCTAGCCCTGCCCATTGCTAGGGGAGACTGCCCTGTCACTGCTGAGGCTGGCCAGGGGATGATGCCTGAGGACCTAACACAAAGCCCCCTTCCTATTCCAACTCTCAGGGGTGCTACTGGCTGCTGGCTTGGCAACAGCTCTGCTCACTGGCCTTGGCCTACTTCTGAAACCCGCTGTGCCCCAGGCCTGCCCCACAAAGTCTTGGGGATCCCAGTGGAGAAGCGTGGGGCAGCCTCCTACTCCTGCTGTGCATGTGACTCCCAGGGACAAGTGAGTTCTTCCACTATGCATCTGCATTAAACCAGCCCCACCTAGGGGCTGCTGTAAACACCACTTGTCCCTCCTAAGAGCCGGGCACTGCTGAGCTTTGCCCTGGTCCTGTGGACTCTGGACAGAGTACCTTCCAGTGACCTATGAAGGCCCTTCCGGATGGATTCAGCACATGTGTGTCTACATGCCAAAGTCAGATCTTTCTTCCAGCCTCCTGTCCTACGAAGACCTTGAAGAAGCTGATTCTAGGGAGAAGGACATGACTCGGGGTGCAGGTACCTTGTTGTCTTGCAGCAAGTTCCCTTCCCTCTGCCCACATTTCAACACCTTCACCAGGCATACCCTCTGGGTATGGTGCTTCATGTGTCTACAGCACCAACAGGCTGTAGGATACTTGATTCATTCATCTGATCCTCCCATTGGTACTAACAAGGGAGTGCTTCCAGGTGTTGTCTCTGTTTTACAAGTAGAAAGACTTAGGGTAAGAAATATGAGTCCTCTTGGAGGTCCTCAGCCAGTATGGTGTACAGAGACAGTGGCCCTGGGTTTGAGGCAAGACTCTCCAATTGTTACTATGTTAGTCCGTTTTTCTACAGTCAAAGACAATTCTCTAACTGCCTCTGGCTCAGCTCAGGGGCAGGAAGGAGAAATGCTCTCATTCTAAGGGGAACATGACCATCGGTTTCTCTTAGAGTTCAGGACTTCCCATCGTGGTCCTCCATTTTCCTCCATCACAACCCTTAGCAGCAACTGTGAGCAGGTATTGTTAGCAGGAGGGCATTGCAAAGAAACTTCTGGAAGGAGACCTTTCCTCTGCTTGGCATTCCACTTCCTCCATGGATTTGGCAAAGCCATCCTTATGGGCTTGAGGTGTTTCTCGTGGTGATTTCCATTTGCTTTACACACTTCTTAGCTATTTGTATGATCTCCTTGAATGAAAGTCTAGTTGAATCCTTTGCTCATTTTGAATCAGGTTATTGTTCACCTAGGGTTAGGACTTCTCTATGTGTTCTAGATATTAATCAGTAATCACTTATGTGACTTGAAAACATTTTTCTGCAAATCTCTAGGTTGCTCTTTCAATCTGTTTATAATGTCTTTTTTTACTGAAGAGATACTGGTGGGTCCTAGGAGACATACAAAGATGGCTGAGACACAGACTGTTCTATCACTGACCTGAGCTCCCAGGCACCAACATCTTTGAGATATAATTATTTCAGTTTATATGATGTCCATACTGTATTTTTCCTTATTACTGCCTCCAATTTTGATATTGGATCAAGGACAAATCCAATATTATGAAGGATTTATGCTGTTTTCTCCCCCCACTGAGGGTTTGTGTAGGTTCTACATTCAGGTTTTTGGTCCATTTTGCTTTACTTCTGGAAGTGGTGTTAGGTAGGAACTCAGAATGATTCCTTGACATGTGCACATCCAGTTTTTCTAGAACCATTTATTTAAAAAAAAAACAACAACTGTCTATTCCCTCTGAGTGTTCTTGGAACCTTTGCTGAAATCATATGACCAAAGACGCAAAGATTTCCTTCCGGACTCTTGGTCTCCTTGCTGGTTATGAGTCTGTCTGGCCCTCCTGTTCTTCCCGAGTCAGTCTTGCTAGGTTTCCTGCTTCAAGCAGATGCTCCATTGCAGCTTAGTCACCCGTCTTTCTGCCTCAGATCTGTCATCGTACTCTTAGAATCCTTGTGTTTTCTGAAGAATTAGTGATAATGTCCCCATTTTCACTTCCAATTTTAGGAATCTGTGTCTTCATTGATTCTTTAAACACACACACACACACACACACACACACACACACACACACACACACACACACAGTGTTGCTCTTTTCAGTGAATGAACTTCTAATTGACTTCCTCTATTGCCTTTCTAGTGTTCATTTCAAATGTCTCTGCTCTCCACACCAGAACTACGCCCTCCATTGCCTACAGTTTTTGGCTTGTCCCCCACAGTCCTCTCCTTCTACCACTCACTGCCTCCCTTGGCTGTCTACAACTCCAGGGCTATGGCAGGTTGGCCTCAGGCTCTCTGATTCCTGTGACTGATTGTTCCTTTTTGACAAGCTCTCAAGGTAGCTAAGTCTTTCTTTACACTTCCTCAGCCTACATCACTGAAAGTGGGCAATGAAAGGCTACTTGGAAAAAAAAGTGTTTTTATTGAACCTGATGCCATGTCACCGAGGGAGGCAAAAACGCAGAAGTGTGTCGCCCATTGACTCTCCAGTCTTAAGCATTAGATTCTGTCTCAAGATGGCTCCCAGCCATAGCCATCTCCTGCATGGAGAATGACAAAATACTGTGGAGTTCCTCACTGCTCATGACCCACCCACCACACTGGAGGAACTGCTGTCTTACCAGAACCCCCCACTGGATTCGAGGCTTAGAGAGAACTGTGGGTTTGTCCTGTGGGTGGGACTGTCCATCTCTTCTCGCTGGAGCCACCAGGACCACCTTCAGGAGGAGGTGTCTGTTTCCCCTCCTCCACCTGGAAGCATGAAGATGGAGCCGGGTGCACTTTGCTCTTTTTCTCTGTTTTCCTGCACGTTGTGGCTGTCCCGTGACACCATGTGATTTTCAATGCTCTTTCCAAAATGTCTCTCTTTGGAATCGACACCATTCTTTGCTCTCCTGACTCATTTCACTCACCATGTCACCAGAAGGCAGTCTCTAATCTTCCATCTTACCCTGGAGGTCTCTAAGTACCTCTTAAATTATATAGAAAGAAGAGAATAAATATAATCAAAGTTATAACAGCATAAACTTTTAGCCAAATAATTTTTAATGTATTGGTCTCTTAAATGAGCCTCAAAGTTAACTAGAAAGATTTTCCCACACTTTGGAGACTCTCCAGTTCATACACTGGAGATTTTAAATATGGAGTCATGAACAATTGTTACAATAAATGCCAGCTTCTCCAAATGACTCCTTGCTAATCATTAAAGTCTTCATTTTTCTCTTTATTTTCAAGTTACTCTCTAGCTTCAAGCTACTATCCAGCGTCTTTTCATGTCCCCTTCAAGGCTTCTGCGAGTATTTCTATATAGCAGATCCCATGGTGACAGACACCCTCTGCTTCTGAGTCTCTGGGGATTCCATCATTGCTCCCTCACTTTTGAAGACTAGTGCTTCTGGATGCAGCATCCTAGTCTTTCTTCAGTACTTCGCACACTGCAGTGGGAAGGGGCCTTTGTCATCCCATTTTCCCTCTTTCAAAGCTGAATGGGTGGGAGGGAAGAGGTCTGGGGCCATGGAGAGCCACCGTGGGACTTGTGAGTGTCCACAGGAGCTAAAGCTGGGGAGGCAGCAACCTTGATGGAGCCACCCTGATTCTTCCCTTCCCGAAGTTGGCCTGGGTCACATTCCTTGCCAAATAAGTACTCAGCGAACTTAGTACTTGGTGCTGTGGGGGCACTCATGGTGAGGGTGCTGGCAAAGTCCAGCTAGACACGAGTCATAAGAGCCGTGGTATCAGAAGGGGTGAGCACAAAGCACTGTAGCTGTGAGAACACAGATGGTAGTGGGCGTGCAAGTGGAGGGGAGGAGAGGGCATAAAGCATCCAGCAAGGCTTCGGAGGACACCACACGGCTCCCCCAGGAAGGCTGAGTCAGCTATGATGCAGTCAAAGCCCTTTAGATCACAGCCACACAGAATAGCTTCTCCCCCTACTTCTTACTACACATAAAGCCCTCAGTTTCCTTCCCATAAGGCCTCACTCTCCTTCTTCAGTGCTGACTTGGGTGGGAAGCAGCTGGCTTTCTCCCCCTCCTCCTCCCCACCCGGTTCTCTGCTCATCCACAAATTTCACTCCAAGATCTCCCCTGACAGGGGAACCACCCCAGGCCCTGACGCTGGAGGACTTCAGTGTGCGCACACTCTATGACAAGCTGGAGGACCAGAGTCTGCACGTAGCAGCCCAGCTGAGTAGGCACAGGGAGGATGCATTGGCCTTCTACAGGGCGGCAAGCCAGCAGCTACAGGGACTCCAGGTCAGCCCCTCTTCTCCCTGGGCAACCACCCAGAAAGCCTGAGTCCACAGGGACCCCACTACAAAGAGCTAACACGGCTCTGATTCTTCTAGGATTTTCTGCAGGGCACCAGCCTGACAGAACTTCCATCTCTGGTCAAGGACAAACACCCTGAGCCAGGGGTCAAAACCCGTAGGGAAACAGTCACTGGAGAGAGCGAGGAACCACAGGAAGCAAGAGCCAGTCACACTGCCTCATCTCGGACAGACTCCTGGCAGCTTGCTCCGGGTGAGAGGCAGGTGTGGTTGTGGAGGACCAGCAGTAGAGTCGCATGAATACTCGCTGCCTGAGTGTGCAGCTCCACTTAGTCATCTCGTGTGGTGCTCAGCTGAGTCTCAGGAGACAGTACCAGGCCCCTCATCGTCTGAGGATGTGATTTACCGAGTGATCCAGATGACAGGGACACCACTGTTACGTACTGCAAGTATCATGAGGACCGCAGGCCCTGATGCTGGAGGACTGGTCTTGGGGAGGGAGTGGGAAATTTGGTCAGACATTCATCAGAAACCCTTCTCATACCTGTCTGACCCCCTCGTGGGGATTTGAGGCTTCTGTGGGCTTCTCTCTACACCAGTTCTTTCTTCCTGGGCTTCTGGTTAGCATCTTGTCATCTCTGGCCAATGATTAGGAGGAGGGCCAAGAAAGCCTATTTGCCCTGAAAGCTTCCTGAGACAAGCTGTAAAGCTGTGTCCAGATGGCCCCACCCACCCTGGATGCTTACTGACAGGGTGCATTAGGAGGCTAGATGAAGCTAATTGCCATCCTGGACCATCACATACTGCAAGGTGGAGGATTCGGGATTTTCCTTGATAAGGGACCATGCCCTATGTCAAACAATGGGATATGAAGTTCCATCAAACAGGAAAGAAAGCAATTAATCTACCTTCAGAGGAAGTTTGCTCTATAGCCCAGGAAAAGCTCCTGGGTGGAATGTCATGCTGTCCCTGTCAAGCCCTAGGAGGCTACACAGGATATAGTGCCATTGAGTGTGGGGACAGAGGGAGATGTGTCTGTAGGGATGCATGGTGAGCACAGCTGGAGAGAGGAGAAGATGAAATAAGGGGAAGGAACCATAGAGAGATGTATATAAAGGATCGGCAGACCTGTGAATAGTTTATTGTTAAACACAAGTAAGAAATAGTTTGATACTCAGAGCAAAGAGATTATATGTACATTCATGCACAAAGCATCTCCACATGTGGTCAAGGCTCTGTCCACAGCCTTGAGCACAGTAAGGTAACCATCTCACCAAGAGAGGAATTTTGTGTCATGAAAAGGAAAAGACAATGGGAAGAGGAGTGGCACGTGCTTAGCCCCACATGTGGCTAGGAACTGAAGAACAGGCAAAGTGGGTATCTGGTGGTTCCCTGTGCTGGGCTGAGATGACTGCTGATGTTCTGCTGCTCTGTCTTCTTCCCTAGGCTGTACTCCAAGCATCTCTCCCTTGGGCTTCCAGCCAGAGCTTAGCAGAACCATCACTGCCCTGGCATCAGCACTTTCTCGGGCACGAGAGCCACCTGTTGGGGCCAGCAGAAAGGTGAGAGGTCACTAGAAGCAACTGAATGCACTTGTATGAGCAGGACAGCTTGCCGGTTACCCTCGCCTTGTGGTGCTAAGTGGGACTCAAGAGCCTATGATGCATGCATATATCCGTGTGAGCAAAACAGACTGCCTTTGGAACTAAGTGGGACCCATGAACCTATGATGCATGCATATGCCTGTATGTTAGCAAAACAGACTGCCTTTGGCGTTAAGTGAGACCCATGAACATACGATGCATACACATACCTGTGTGTGAGCAAAACAGACTGCCTTTAGAGGTAAGTGGGACCTATAGGTGTATCATGCATGCATAAAAATATATACCAATAACCACATACATATGAATACTTATACACTCCCTGGGACCTTGTTCTCCCATCTGGCTGTAAACTCTAGTCAGAAACCCCAGGACTCTGTTTGTGCTTGTTGACTACAACACTCTGTTCTTCCTAGGCCTCTAGCCAACATGATGAACAGTCTTCCTTCACCAGTCAGAGGGACTCACCTATGATGGGACAGCCTCCATTCAATGACCAGGAACCCCAGAGCACAAGGTGAGGTAGGACTGGCCTGATGGTCTATGTAGAGGCACCTCTAGGGACAACCTTTAGATCTTATATTGACTATGACCATCTTATATTTCACAACACAACTTGATTTGAAGCTTTAAGACATTCAAATCCAAATACAAGGTTTGGAGGTTCTTTATGCCCACTGTCATCCATGTTTGTTATGGATGTTCACTGACTGACCTTTGAAACTGAGCCCACTTGGCTCTGGCAGAGCCCAGACTTCATGTTTCAGCCTACTAATTCTTCTTTTCACTATCATATCTACAGAGTTTCTCCATGGGGATCTCTCACTACCCTTCCCTTAGTCCCACCCAGGGGCTCTGATGAACTCATTTGCTTATGTAGACTGGATTTCTCTGTTTATCTGTTTGTTTATTAAATGTACAGGGGAGGGTGTGTTGCATGTGTGCCATGGTGCATGCACAGAGGTCAGAGAACAACTTGTGGGAGACAGTTCTCTACTTCTACCATGAGGGTTTCAGGGACTGAAGTCAAATTGTTGGACTTGGTAGTAAGTACCCTTACCCACTGAACCATCTCACTGGCCCAATTTATCTATGTGCTTTGTATTTCCCTTCACCTGCTTTTAATGACCATGAGTGGTAAGGATTGTTGACTGCTGACATGTACATGGTGATAAATTAATGCTTTATATGCTATCCAATTTAATTCTCACAACAACCATAAGGAGTAGATACTGCCACTACCTTTACTTTAAAGGTGAGGACACTGAGTCTCACAGAGGTTAAGTATCATGGATTTCGAGTACATGAGTCTCAAGACCCAAACATACTGAAGGCTGGCCTCAGTCTCCCCCTAGCCTTTCATGGAAGCCATGGTCAGCCTCCCTTTAAGAAGCACCTACTATTGAATTTCCTCAGTGAAGAGGCCTAGAAAGTGAACAAATAGCTAACATCTCCTACAGGCAGAGGGGAAATAGTCCGGATTCTCCTTCTAATACAGTGGTTCTCAACCTGTGGGTTGCAACCCCTTTGGGGGTCAAATGACCCTTTCATAGGGGTCACCTAAGACCATCAGAAAACACAGATATTTACATTATGATTCATAACAGTAGCAAAATTACAATTATGAAGTAGTAATGAAAATAATTTTATGGTTGCCGGTCACCCACAACATGGGGGACTATGTTAAAAGGTTACAGCATTAGTAAGGTTGAGAACCACCACCCTAATATCATGGGGCCTAGTCCTTAAGTAATAAAGGACACATAAATGGAAGAAAAGCTAAGACTCTGGAGATTCAGATTCCTGGCTGGACTGTGCCTCAAGTGTTGTGCACTCTGAGCAAAAGCTTTCTCCAGTCAGTTGTCTTAGAGACTAGCAGGATAATCTTGTGCACAAGCACGTATTCTTATCCTTGATGCAGGGTGCTATGAGGTGTGGTGACATGCATCTGTAATCCCAGCATTTTGGAGGCCGGTAAAGGAGGAGATCATATTGAGTGTGAGACCAGCCTGAGCTACATAGGAACACCTTATCTTAAAATAAGAAAAAAATTCCTAAGGATGAAGTCAGAAAGAACTGGTCTGACAGTGCAAAAACCATAAGGCAGGGAATGTATGTACGAAAGAGAGAGCTCTAGTTTAAAGACATCTGCAAGATTCAGCAAAAGGCCAATGCCGATGGGATCGTTTGAGATGGGCATTTAAATAAAGGGGAGGTCTTAAATTGCCACAACGGGTGGAAGGTGTTCCTTGACAAAGACGTCAGATGAGAAAGCTGAGGTGTGACTCATAGGTGACCTTCCGAAAGGACCTCGGTTTTGTAGCTAGCCACCACCCTTCTCATGGCAATGCCCAGAAAGAGATCTGGAATCTCTGGAGAGCATAATACTGCTAGAAGCTTGAGACCAATACAAGAGGAGGGAGGACACATAAAGGCAGGGTAGGGTGTGTGACCATGTGTCAGTGTGATCACAGGGCCACAGTTCCCCTCCCAAGCCTGGAAGGATTCACAGAGCAGAACCACCTCAGTCAGCCCCTGGGCAGTAGTGAGCAATGGCTCTTGCTTCATGCAGTGCACACTGAGGTGGGCTGGTCTACTACTGCATGTGGAACTTCAAGGGGACCTTTCTTTCCCTCATCCACAGGCCCCAGCAGGCCCCGGAACCTCTCCAGATCCCCAAGCAGGACGTTAAAGGAAGGGATGCTCAGACCCTCAGTCCTGAGAAGGGGATCCTTGGGGCTGGACTCAGACGTAGACCTGATATTGAGTTGCAGGTAGGTACAGCCCTGGAACTCAGCCCAAGTTCTCCACCCACCTTGCACCCACCCAGGATTCTGTGTGTCCTTCTGTCTTTCCTCTCAACCCTGCTCGTTACCTCGTCACTTTGCAAGTCTGGAAGACAGAAATCAAGCACAATTTTTGGAGAAAAAGTGTCAAGAGGAGATAGTTTATGACCAGAGAATACTAGTCAGGAGCATCATCCATTTAACCAACATGTATTTAGTAACTGGCTACGGTATTCTCAAGGACAGGAAATGGAAGCCTATGGGACTTGAAAGAATTTCAGGCAATGAGATAAACATTTCAGCTTCCACACACAAGTTAGGTCACTTGCCCCTTTGTGTCTGATGTATTGTACTTCACACTATGTCCTCCAGTTGCAGCCACATGATGGAAACATTTTGTGGCTGGTAACTTTCATATATACATATATAACATTGTATTTATTGATCTATCAGAGGATGCCTAGGTGGATGCTGTTCTCTTAATACCATGAATAATATTCAACAAACTCAAGAGTGTAAATGTGTTTTCCTTTTTTTTTCTTTAAATTTTCTTCTTCTCTCATGCATTACATCTCAAACTCAGTTTCCTGCCTCCCTCCTCTCCTCACAGTCTCCCTCACCTCCCCTTCCCGCCAAATCCACTCCTCCTCTGTTTCCCTTCCACAAAAACAGCAGGCTTCCCAGGGATATCAACCAAACATGGTATAACAAATTACAATAGGCCTCATATCAAGGCTGGGTGAGGCAACCCAGTAGGAGGGAAAGGGTCCCAAGCACAGGCAAGCGTTGGTGATACCTTTCTCTCCTACTGTTAGCAGTCCCATTAGAACACCAAGCTGTACAACCATAACACACATGCAGAACACCTAGCTTAGACATATAGAGGGTCTGTGATGGTCGCTTCAAACTTTGTGATACCCTGTGGGTCCTGCTCAGCTGATTCTGTGGACCATGTTCTCGTGATGTCCTCCTCCTCATCTCCTGCAAGGTTCTTCTGCTCTGCCTAGTGTTTGGCTGTGGGTCTCTGTATCTGCTCCCACCTGCTGCTGGGTGATGCCTCTCTGATGATAACTGGGTTGGGCACCTATTGATAAGTATAGCAGAATGTCATTAGGAATCATTTCATTGACCCTTTTTTTGTTGACAGTTGTGATTGGTTCTGTCCTGGGTCTCTTGGCTGTCCATCCTCTGGTTCCTGATCATCCAGGCAGTGTCAGGCATAGACTCCCACTTGTGGCATGGGCCTCAGTTGGACCAGTCATTGGTTGGCCATTCTTACAAGTTCTGTACCACCATTACCCCAGCACATCTTCCAGGCAGGACAGATTGTTGGTTGAAGGTGTTGTGGCTGGGTTGATGTACCAGTCATACTGCTAGGAGCCTTGCCTAGCTATAGAAGATGGCCAGTTCAGGATCTGATTCCCCATTACTAAAAGACTTCACTAGTGTCACTCTTGTAGTTACAGGGAATTTCCACTGCACTGGTTTATACATCAATCCCAAATGCCCCCTAATTCCAGTTGTCTTCCCCAGTACTCTCTCTCTCCATCCACCCATCCCTCCTGTTCCCACCCCTACCCACCCCCAGTCCACCTGCAAAATCTCTTCTATTTCCCAGGGAGATCCATGTGTCTTCCTTTGAGCCCTCCTTGTTACTTAGCCTCTCCATGTCTGTGGACTTTAGCATGGTTATCCTTTTCTTAACAGCTAATGTCCACTTATAAGTGAGTACATATCATATTTGTCTTTCTGAGTCTGGGTTATCCCACTCAGTATGACTTTTTTTCTAGTTCCATTAATTTGCCTGCAAATTTCATGATATCATTGTTTTTAACAAATAAGTAATACTCTATTGTGTAAATGGATCCATTTTTCTTATCCATTTTTCAGTTGAAGACATCTAGGTTGTTTCCTATTTCTAATTATTATTAATAAAGCTACTATGAACATAGGTGAGTAAATCTCTTTGTGGCAGGATGGATTGTCCTTTGGGTATATGCTCAAGAGTGGTATAGCTGGGTCTTGAGGTAAATCAATTCCCAATTTTCTGAGGAACCGTCATACTGATTTCAATAGTGACTGCACAAGTTTGTATTCTTACTAGCAATGGAGGAATGTTCCCTTTGTTCCACATCCTTGTCAGCGTGAGCTATCACTTATCAATCTTAGCCATTCTAACAGGTATAAGATGGAATCGCAAAGTAGTTTTGATTTGCATTTTCCTGATGTCTAAGGATATTGAACATTTCTTTAAGTGTTTCTCAGCAATTGGAGATTGCTCTGTTGAGAATTCTCTGTTTAGATCTGTACCCCATTTTTAATTGAATTATTTGGTTTATTGATATCTAGTTCCTTGAGTTCTTCATTTTGGAAATTAGTCCTCTGTTAATGTGGAGTTGGTGAAAATCTTTCCCCATTCTGTGGGCTGCCATTTTATCCTATTCATGGTGTCCTTTGCCTGACAGAAGCGTTTCAGTTTCATGAGGTCCCATTTATTGATTATTGTTCTTAGTGCCTGTGCTATTGGTGTTCTGTTCAGGAAGTTGTCTGTTGTGCCAATGCGTTCAAGGCTATTCCCCACTTTCTCTTCTATCAGGTTCAGTGTATCGAGTTTTATCCTGAAGTTTTGGACTTTACTTGGACTTGAGTTTTGTGCAGGGCAATAGATACAGATCTATTTGCACTCTTCCACATGCAGATATCCAGTTAGACGAGCACCATTTGTTGAAAATGCTTTCTTTTTTTTTTTTTTTTCCCATTGTGTATTTCTGGCTTCTTTATAAAAAAAAAAAATCAGGTGTCCGTAAGTGTGCGGATTTACATCTGGTGTAGGTGTTTTTCAACAGACTGGTTTTGGTACCTTAGGATATATTCCCGAAAATGGAATTGCTGGATCATATGGTGGATCCAGTTGGGAGTGGAGTTTTTGTTTGTTTGTTTGTTTTGTTTTGTTTTTTGTTTTTTTTGTTGTTGTTTTATTTTTTTGAGGAGCCTCCAGAGTGTTTTCCATAATGGGTGAATTCATTGTCATTGCCACCAACTATGTATAAGACTTGCCTTTTCTCCGAGTCCTTCTCCCGCAATGTAATTTTTGTCACTTTACGACAGCCATTCTCCCCGGGGTGAACTGTCTCATCAATGTACTTCCCCGATGATGGTGAACCTGTCCATTTCTTGCACTTCCCGTTTGAATGAACTACAGAGTTTGGGGTTGTGTTTGCTTGATGTTGTATTGAGTTCCTCATGTATTCAAGAAACTAAGTCTTTGTCACACCAACGATTTTCTGATTCTCTCCCCGGTGCTGGAGACTGCGTCCTCACTCTGTTGATGGCTCCTCTGCTATAAAGAAGCATGTCTGGGGCTTTGTTGAGTTGTTTTCGTTGCTCATGCTTCTGGGAGCATGTACAAAACCCTTAACCAAGTCTATGTCCTAAAGCATCCGCTGCTGCCGCCACTGCCGCCGCCATGGTTTCCTCTACTGCTGTTATGGTTTCAGGCTACATTTAAGTTTCTGCTCTATTTTTAATTTCTTTTTTACGTTAAGGACAAGGAGCCCCGTGTGTTTCTTTTGTGTGTGGATATGCCGTTTTCCTTTCTCTGATATTTATTCTTTCTGCCTCTGTCAAAAAGCAATTGGCTTTAGGTACTTGAGTTATTTCTAGATGTTTTATTTTGTTTCTTTGGTCTGTTCATGGTTATGTCTGGTTTTAAAATTATTATTTTGTTTTTGAGATGATAATAGTTACATTTCACTCTTCTTTTTCCTCACTCCAAACTCTCCCACGTACCCCTCCCTGCTCTCCTTCAAATTTATGTCCTCTTTTTCCATTGTTACTGCACACGCACGCACGCACGCACGCACGCACGCACGCACGCATGCACGCACATTCCTAAATATAACCTATTCAGTCCATATAATATTACTTGCATATATATTTTCGCTGGACAACCAATTGATGTGCTCTTTCCTTGAGAGGACCATCTCTCCAATTTCTAGCTGGGCTCTACAACTCTGCATTTTGATCGGTTGTGGCTTTCTGTAGTAGTCCCTGTTGCAAAATTTTTTTGATGAGTGGTGAAGACTATAATTATCTACACAGACAAATGTCTACAGATATTTCTTAGTGATTATGATTTGGCTATCACTTTGTATATTTGAGGGAGAAGACAAGGTTCCATGTAACCTAGATAGCCTCAAACTTGTTGAGTAGCCAATGATACCCATGAACCCTGATTCTCCTGTATCTGCCTCCTAAGTGCAGGGGTTATAGATGTGTACCACCATGCCAGATTGTAGTATGTTTTATTATTTTTAATCATTATTTTACATGTATGGGTGTTTTGCTTGCATATTGTATGTGTACCACGTACATGCCTGGTATCTGCAGAGGTCAGGAGGTGTTTGGTAGCCTGAAATTAGAATTACAGGTGGTAGTGAGCTGCCATGTGATTTCTAGAAATTGAACCTGGGTCCTCTGCAAGAGTAACAAATGCTCTTAACTACTAAACTAATTCTCAAGTCCTGTGCTGTTTGTTTTAAAGTAAGGTATTGTAATGCTGCTGCTTCTGCTTCTCCTTCCTCCTCCTCCTCCTCCTCCTCCTCCTCTCCTCCTTATTCTCCTCCTTCTCCTCTTCTCCTCTTCCTCCTCCCTCCTTTCCTCCTTCTTCTTCAATCTCTGGGTTACTTTGACTGTTCAGGGTCTTTTTTGACTCTATTCATGTTTTATGGGTGATGTTTTTAAGTGTATATTTTTGTAAATATATTCACATAAGTGTATATTTATGTGGATAATCTCATTGGTATTTTGACAAAAAAATCATACACTGAATTAGTATTTTGCTTTGGAAAATATGAACAATTTGTCAATGTTAATTTTTCTAATTCATTAACATGATCTCTCTCTCTCTCTCTCTCTCTCTCTCTCTCTCTCTCTCTCTCTCTGTGTGTGTGTGTGTGTGTGTGTGTATGTGTGTGTCCATTATCTTCTATTGTTTTCATTGATGCTTTTCAATTTTCATTATAATGATCATTCATACACTTGGTTAAATTTATCTATAGGTATTTGATTAATAGATATATGAATGCGATTTCTTTATATTTACATTTGGGTTTGTTTCCTCTCTCTCTGTGTGTATGTATTCTTGTGTGTGACTGCAGGTGCACAGGTGCCTTAGAACACAAGTGGAAGCCAGAAGACTTTAGTTACAGAAGGTTGTGAGCCACCATGTGGATGCTGGGAATTGAACTCGTTTGTCTGTTTTGAAGCAGCTTCTCACTTTGTAGCCAGGCTGGCCTTGAATGCACGGCAGTACTCTTGCTTCAGGATCCTGAGTTCTGGGATTACAGGCATAAACCATTATACCTGGCCTAGCTTCTTGTCCAGTATCCACTCAACAACAACTTTAGCCAAAATTCAGTAGCATGATCTGCTCTGTCAGGGAGCCTGAAACATTCTTTTCCAGGTGGGTAAACTGCCACACCTCCACCACGTGGGTCCTGTTAGCCAGGCAGACCTACAGTTGCAGCGCTTGATGATCCCTCAAAGCTGGGAAGAACACACAGGCCCTGAGTGACCTGCTATCCCTGGCCCTAATTATCCCTTTCTCTAGCATCTTCTTCTACTTTCCCAAACAAATTCCATGCTGCCAAACTTAAGCTACTTCCCACAGCAACCCCAACATCTGTTTAGACACCATTTTTCACAGGTAACTTCTTACCTTGTGTGTCTGTCTACAAACTCACAGATGTTCACTAATGGAGTCCCAAAACTGAACATTGCCTTAATACACTATAGGTGTTCAGCAAGGGTCTCTTCTCAGAATTAATTTTTTTAAATTTCATGAATAGGAGTATTTTGCTCACATGTTTGTCTGTGTACCATGTGCATACCTGTGCCCATGGAATTCAGAAGAGGGCATTGGATTACTTGTAACTGGCCTATGGACAGTTGTAAGCCACCACATGAGTTCTGGGAACTAAGCCTAGGTCCTCTGAAACAGCAGCAAGTGCTCTTAACTGCTGAGCCAATCTCTCCAGACCCTCACTAAGTATGTATTTATCGATGAGTGAATGAATGAAGAATGATGTATAGATGGGTAGGTAGAGTGGGAGTAGGTATATGGGTGGGTAGATAGAAACACAGAGTGAAGTTTGAGAAGGTGAAAGGATGGATAAATAAATAGACGGATGGCTGGATGGTAGATGGATATGTAAAGGGATAAATGGATGAACAGTGGGTGAATTGATGGTGATTTGAGTGAATAGGCAAGGAGGGTGGGTGGGTGGATGGATGAATAGATGGATTGATGGATGGGTGGATGGATGGATGGACAGATAGCTGGATAAACTCTCTCTATGCTCTCCTATGTCTCTGGCTTTTGTAAAATGCTATTCTCTTTTGCTTATGCTATCTTTTCCCCACTTCCAACCCAGGTATCTCCTGTCCATTTTTAAATATTCAGTTAAATTTCCTCTCCCTGACTTCACTTTCAGGCTAGATGTCTTTTTTGCTCCTGCAGCATAGCACATTTCTTTACCATAGTCTTTCCTGTAAATGTGGGTTGACGCATCAGGTTCTGAGATGCCTGGAGATGAGGCTCAGTGATCAAATGCTTTCCTAAAGAGCCTAGACTTAGTTCTTCAGCACCAAATGCAGCCACCTGCTGCTCTCAGTGGCACACATCTACTGCCCAGTCTACTGGGGTACCCAAGGAAGGATCTGTTGAACCGAAAAGTTCAAAGCTATTCTTGGAAACATAACAAGGCTGAGCCCTAAGTGAAAAAAGGAAACAAATAATTTTTCTGCATTCTAGAAAAAGACATGGCAGGTGGAAGAAGCTCTGGATGAGCTGAATGAGGAGTTCTTTTGGCTCAGTGCTCAAATCTTGGAGCTCCAGAAGGAGGATGGCAAGCTGGACCGACTCTGCCTAGGGGAAGACAACACCTCTGTGGTAAACTAAGCCGCTGAGGAGCACCTCAGCTCCTCCAGTGTCTACATGGGGATCTTGTGGGACCAGAGCCCCTTCCACAGAGATGAATTATGACCAGAACATCTAATAGCTATGGCTATATGCTGCCTTTTGTTGAGTGAGGAAGGCCAAGGGTTGAGGCTACAGATGGGGAACGTACACCATGAAGTTGGGGTGTCGCTCTCTAAGGATATTCATATCTAGAAAGACTGTTATAGAAGTACAAGAAAGATAATAGAGATAGCTGTCCTACCAGCATCAGTGGAGGCGGAAAGCCAGCATGGGTCAATATGTAAAGGCACTGGCTGTGCAAACCGGTGGCTTGAGTGAATGTGATTCCTGGAACCCAGATGGTAGAAAGAAAGAAAGAACTGACTCCTACAAGTTGTCCTCTGATCTCCATCACATACAATAATAAGACATGTTCACACACACACACACACACACACACACACACACACACACACACACACACACACACACACACACGGAGGCCAGCCTTGGCTACATAGCAAGTACCAGACCAGCCTGGTATTCTGATTCAAAAGATTGTTTTTAGATGTTGTCTAGCCGACAGAGCCTGTTTTCGGTCCCAGAGGCTCTCCATGATCTGTATCTTCTGGGTTGTCCCGGACTGTGGGCTTCCTGCAGAGCTTGGGTCTGGTTCCTCTCTGAGCTCCCATCCTCTGCCTCAGTGGGCAGATGTGAAGCTCATTCCACCTGTGTAGTACCAGCTACAAGATGCTGCCCTCATCTTCAGCTACAGGGAATGACAAAAGATGACTTTGTGAGGACAAAGGGACAGGGGAGCTTCCTTCTTATGAAATAGTCACTAAAATATACCGAGAACAAACAGGTGGAGGCGAAGGGCTACAGTATGGATGAGGTTTAACTGTTCAGTAATTATTCCCAATGATTGATTACACCAACTGCATAGTGACTTGACTGTTGTCTTACTTTTGTATGCAAAAAACTGGGCATGCTGTTTCCATGAATTGATGATGGGTCCTAGAAAAATCTCTAGATATATTTTTGAGAGTGAGGCAATGCTGGTATTCACAGAGCATCAGTAGGACACAATGTAATGGAAGTGGGAGCTTTTGAAGGTCACTTTTCTTTGTTTACATCTGTCCTGTCCTAAAGGGCACACAGGCGCTGATGCTGGAGGTACAAAGGATCCACCTGGCTCAGAGGATTGAGGACCTGGAGTGGGAACTGTCCCTGCTCCTCCAGACTTCCAATAGCAGCTCAAGAGCAGAAGGGAGCCGATCCAGCCACAGTGCTAGCCAGCAAGTTCCCGAGTCACCGTGGATGCAAAGGTGGCCACCTGTAGGATGTACCTTCTACACCAAGGACACAACTACATCCCTGTGTTAGGAAGGAATGGGTACCTGAGGCTGGGGGTCTATGCTGGCTTAGAGGTGCTTCTTTGTGGACACTCAGATTTCTGTCAGAAGCTGACCTCAGCATGTGCTAAACTCTGCTTTGCTCCTTTGGGGTGAGGGACAATAAAGTTACTTAGGATGAAGAAATCAGTGAATGCTCCCAGCATCCTGTCTCTAAAGCAATGTTTACAGTGTCCTATGGTCTGAGTTCATGCTGTTTAAATGTTGCTTGGGTCACTGGGCTCAGGGCCAGAAGTGTTGTGGGTAAGACTCTGGAGTGTAAGTATAAAAAGGTCTATTTACATCACACCTTCCTTCTTACATTTCTGATGAGTTTCTAATGCCCTAATGCACTTCCTGGAGGCCCACTTCCCATTCTGGCTACAGTGGCCTCCTGGATGTCAGAGAGTAGGTGCTATCCAAAGGCTGGGCGTGCTGAGCCATACAAAGGCCTCCAATGCCAGAGACTCCTAAGGACAGACCGAATGACTGCCACACTGCAACTCTCAGCTCTCTGCCTCCTGAAAGTCCATTGTTGGTACCTTCTATGTTTTTTGAGATATCCCTTCATGGGCAGGGCCTCCTCCACTGTCCTGTCCTGTGTAGAGCCACATCACCCTAGACCTACACCAGAGGCATAAACCACCATCCATGCCCTCCTCTGTCTCCACCTGTATGTGATTCCCACATTAGTTATCTATGCTGTATGGACCCTCCTTCTGGATGAGTTCTTCAAAGCAGAGTGTGTCTTTCCTCTTTGGGGAGCTACACACACACACACACACACACACACACACACACACACACACACACAAACTCACACAGATGTTCACACACAACTACGGACATAGAGACAAATATAAACATATTTACAAACTCACATGCTCACACAGAAACTCACACTCAAGTGACGCACAGAGCCTGAATGAATGCACTTGTTATATAGGGCACCACCTCTAGGCAGATTGGATCACTAAGTCACACCAGGAAGCCACACTGCTACATAGGGACAGTACAAAATATATTCCTTATAATTCTGGCACTCAGGCTGAGGCACAAGGATTATGAATTTGAGGGCAGCCTTGTTTACATAGCAAATTCAAGAATAATCTAATTCTGCTTAAAACCAAGGAGAAAAAGTGTAGAACCAGCACCAACACTGTGGATAAACCTGAACATAAGGAGAGGCTTAAGGTTGAAGGACAGGAAGGAGGCTTTGGCCACAGCCCTTAGCAACAGGGTCAAGGAGAAGCTAGGCTGAGCCTGGCTTTGGCTGTGGAAGGAAGGGTCTTGGCTAGATACAGGAAGGAAGGAGCTTTTCATGCTAGTGATACATCTGGAAAAAGAGTAACAGTCACACCATGATATTGTTTAGGAGGGGTTACCTGGGCTTCCTTAGGAAGAGGATTCCACAGAAGGACATGCATAGACGCTCACCCTGAAACTTCCCCTGTTGCTGTGGTTCTATCCCAAGACTTTGGGGTCCCTAGGAGACGCCTGTCTCTGTGATATGGCCCTGCTTGGGCTTTGAGTTCCCAAGACCTTTTCTCCTATGAAATTGTTATGGGTTGGATATTAAAAGGTCTCAAAGGCTCACATAGTGAAGGCTAATTTCAATAATTCCTGGTCCCTGGCACTACTGAGAGCTGATTGGCTCATGAAGGCAGTAACTCCATCAACAGGTTAATCCATGGAGAGTTAACAGCTCAATGGGCTCTCAAGAGGTGAAGAAAAGTTGGGAGAAACATGTTATTGGAGGCATGTCTTTGAAGAGTGGCTCTCATTCTTGGAGACATACAGATATAGACAGCAATAGGTGCTGTGGGCAGAGCTAGAATAGATAATATATATAGTAATAGTGGTAGAGAAAGGAGTTGTCATCTTCCTTCTCTTCTTCCTTCCTCTTCTTTCTGTCTCACTCCTTTCTGAGTGCCAAGAAGTGACCTGCTCTGCCACACCTTTCTGCCATGATGTTCTACCTAAACACAGGCTCAGAAACACAGAGCCAAGAGACCCAACCATGAGCCAAAATAAACTATGTCTCCTGGTAGGTTGTTTTGCATCTGGTATTTTATTACATTGCTGCATAGTGACCAGGACAGAGCACAGGTCACCAAGGAAGTGACAGACTATCAAGTCCTCCTTGGAGAGCGGGGGATTTGGCTGAGCATAGCGCCTTTCTGCTGTCCTGACTGATACCCCTTTCTCAGAAATGTCATAACTGCTCTCTGCAGAAATGTGTGAGTTTGTTCCCTTAGAAGAAGCAAATTCATGGGCAGGATAGTATGGATGTAACCAACTGTTTTATTAAATAAGAAACACAGAAATAATGCAAAAGAGAAAGCCGAGAGGTCAGAGCTCAGAGCCAAAATCTCACCCTTC